TTGAACAAATGGTCCCCTGGACCTTGGTGCCGGCTTTACTCTTATACCAGCCACGCTGCATCTCATCCACTTGGGCCTCTGGGATAATCAGTGTCTTCTGGAATCTTGGTTTAGGAACTCATAGAGTAGGTCTTCCTCCCTGCTCCCACCGTTTGCAGGTTTAGTTTTCCTCCAAGTCCATAACAACAGTTTTGCTCAAGGCAAGACCAATGACCCACAAAGAGAACTACTCCCAGTCTTAGAAAACCTCATGCCACTAAAAACTTATCTTCTGTCTTTAAACCAATTTCAGTCCAAGTAAAAGTTCTGAAAGAAACAAGAAACATTTAAATTGTTCCATATGGGCCACTGCCTTCCAAACATCCTTCTTGTTCCTCGTCCTTGCTTTCTCCATCTCCTTTTCTAAACATTAATTGAGCTCCTATGAGAGTGCCAGGTGTGGTGATGGGTGTGCTGGGATCTTTCAGTTCAATCCCCCACAGTGGCCTCTCAGTCAGGTACTTTCCCCATCATTTTACAGGCACAGAAACTGAGACAATGAGAATATACATCCTACCCGGAGATACATATACAAACGGATAGATGAGCTGAAACTGAAGCCAAGTTGATCGAATTCCCAGATCCAAAAATTTTTATTTATAACATACTGTGCCTTATTCCAAGGCCTCAGAAGTGTCTGACTGCAAACATGTTGGCCATTTTTTTGGCATTGGATCCTCTTCCCTTGTTATCTGCCAGCCCTCCTCCAATTATCTGTGGGAGTCCACAGGGATATCTTACATATACTCTGCTCCAGCAGTTCCTAAATCTATCACCATTGGGATGACCTGGGAAAATTTTTAAAATGAGATTCCTGGGCCCCACCTTTAGAGAATTTTGAGCCCATGGGTCTAGAGTAGGGCCCAGGAGCCTATACTTTTAAGAAAGTGTCCAGGTAATTTGATGACCTGGCAAATTTTGGAATACTGGTTTTTTCACGTGTCATCATATACCAGAATTGGAGATTGAAGTCCAGATGGAGAGTAAATGATCAGCAAAGTGCCTTGTGATAATATAGTTCAGAAAATTAAATAAAGCTTTCAGCTCTCTCTCACTGGTCTCCAGTACCATCTTTCTTCCTGGAAAGTATAGTCCAGGAATCAAAGAACTAGGCTTTGGTCCTTTCTCCTTCCTTATCTGCTAAAAAAGGATAAAGAACCGTAACAACTATACCACCACAATGTATTTGGAATGTGAACACACCAGCCCACCTCACCCCCACTCTAGCACAAGCCCATCATCTCCCTGGGGGGCTATCGCAGCATCCCTCTAAATGGTCTCCCTGCTTCTACTCTCAACTCTTGCTCTAGGCGCATTGACCTTCTTGCTCTGTCTTGGCTTGATTTCCACCCTTGTAGACTCTGGGTGAAATATTTATAGGATAATTCTTTTGTGTTTGTTTTCTCCATGTTTTTCAACCTTCTCCTCCTCCACCTTGCTTCTCTCACTTCAAGTGGATAATCAATCATTGTAATGCTTTGCTTCAGATATTTTCACAGTCGAAAAGGTAAGCGGCTGTAAGACTATAGCTTTTCTAGTTTTGTAGAAGACTACATGCACTGAAGAAATTATGCAAGGTGTTTTGGAGGCAGAGACAACCAGCAAATCATCTTTGAGGGGCATCATATCTAAGAAGGTGTAGGAAGGTCACTGGGAAGGTCAGAGATGTTGATGAGACTCAAGAACCAAGGATGAAGCAAGCCTCTCAGTAGATGGCTGGGAGGTACTCAGGGTAGCAGAGATACCATATTTAAGGAAACTATTACAAGCTATGTCAGTGGTGTGGTATGTTGTGACCGTGATAGACTGGAGGTTGAAATACTTCATCTCTCATTTTTGGGGTACTGTGTAAATATCCAGGACCCCAGTTACTGGGAGGAGGATGGTTTCCCTAAATGATGGACAAAGAAGTGCACAGCCTTGTGGGATATGAATGCAGCATATTGACAATGAATATTGATAATGGGAAAAGGTTGAATTTAGAATTAATTTAATTGATAGAAAATAAAGTCCCTGTTTTTTGCACACCTGAGTTTTTTGTGAGTGGTATGTGCCATAGGAGAGAGATGGGAATATTGATGAAAGGCATCCAACTGAGCACTCCAAGTCATGTTGTAGTCATCAAAGACATCCTAGGGAAATGACCCAGAGACATTCATGTGCAGTGCTATTTCTGTCTGTCAATATGGCTGCAAAGCACTCCATAATTTCAGGCCAACTGTTTGTTGACAATAGTGCAGACCGGGAGTAAGTTCCAGATTAGGTACTACTTCTAATTTTAAATATTATTGGAAAAGCATTATCTGATAATATTTTATTTGAGCAATATCTGTGAATAATTGCAGCCTTGAACTTGAATATAATAGTCTAGTCTATTGTAATTGGTGAAAAGATGTTTTATGCTTTCCCATCTTCAGCAGGAGATTGTGATCTCCTTGAGGGCAACTCTGTAGAGTTTTAAATTTTAATTTAATTATTTTGCATTACATAGAACGATGCCTGATACTAGTAGGTGATTGGCAAAACTGAAAAAGGAGGAGAAGAATGATACATATTAAAAGAGGAGGAGAAAGTAGGTGAAAGAGCTGCTGATGAAGGAAGAAGACAATAGTAGAGAAAGAAAGGGAGAAGAAAGTAGAGGGAGGATGCAAAGAGATGAGGAAGGAAGCGGAGGAAAGAATTGTGAATACTTGACAAGCAGAAGGAAACAGGAACAGGCCAAAGTTGCTAGCCAATTTCTCCCATTTCCCCCTCAGATCAGAACAGAGGGTGATTCCTGGGCACCTTCAACCTGCACATGAGGACACTTCCACCTCTCTTGGCAAGAGTTAACCTTCATGTGAGCAGTTCTGTAAAGCATGGAGACCAACCAGTAGCTCTTCATCGACAAGTTTAGAACTCTTAGTGTGGAGCGACAAGATTCAGAAGCGTGTTCTTCCTTCTCTCTGATTGTTGTACTATTGGGCAAGGTGGCGTTGTGTTCAGGCAGAGAGAGGGGCTCTAGCTCTCATACTCTTCAATTGGTGCAGCACATAGCTGAGCTGCAGGTGTTCCAACTGGAAGGGTCTTCCATGGATATCATTATTATTGTTGAAGATTAGAAACACAAAAGAAATGGCAGGTTTTCTCTTCCTAGAAATATGAAAGTAAGTCCTTCCTTTCACTTCCTGGGAATATTGCCTTTTCTCTAAACACATCATTGATTTTCCTCTGTTTCTGAATCATAAATCCAAACAGTTGTATCTTGTTTACTTTTCTCTTTTGACTTTCATCACCCATGCCATCAGGAAATCTCAACAAGTTGTGCTGCGATAGTGGCTGCCTCCCTGCTAATGTAGGCAAACATAGCCAGGAGTTGGCAAATGCGGCCTTGGCAAAATCACTGTGGAAAGAAAAGAGGAGGTAGGTATTTATTGGAGTAATGCAGAGGAGTAGCCAGAGACTTCCATCGGGCAGATGTGCCCAATAGTCTCTTAGAAACGAATATACACCACTTTATAGCTGCAGAGTGTCGGTGCGCTAAGTTTCCTTAGGAACGTACAGCTGTGCTTAGGTTAGGCTCCTTTACAAAACTCACTCTCTGTATAAATGAATTTTTCTCATAATTGAAATTGCTCATTTCAAGTCTAAGACTGAAAAATGTTAACAAATAGTAGTATTCAAGAATGTATTCTCTACTCATTTGCCTTCTTGCACAAGGAATAGTGAAGTTGTAATGACAGTTTTCTCTTAAACCAAGGCCACTTTTATGGACCTCCACTATTTTTTACTTTTATTTTTTTGAGGACGATTAGCCCTGAGCTAACTACTGCCAATCCTCCTCTTTTTGCTGAGGAAGACTGGCCCTGAGCAAACATCCATGCCCATCTTCCTCTACTTTATACGTGGGACTCCTACCACAGCATGGCTTTTGCCAAGTGGTGCCATGTCCCCACCCGGGATCCAAACCAGCGAACCCCCGGCTGCCAAGAAGCGGAATGTGCGAACTTAACTGCTGCTCCACCGGGCCGGCCCCCCGGACCTCCGTTGTTGATTGACGATAAAAGTTTGTGTTGCATTGCAGTTTTCTGTCTTCTTCTTCTATGTTAAACAATAAATTGTGATTTTTAAAGGTCTATCTTTCTCTTTCTCTCTCTCTCTCAGACTCTGCTACCCTTAGGCTTATTCTGTAAGCCTGTCAAAGTGTATGGTTTTGGTGTTTGAGCTTTCTGATGGCTATTTCGTGAAGTAAGGGTCACTTTTTGCTTAATTTAAAGGCATATTTGGAGGATTTCGTTTGCTAGAAATATGAGCTGAGGAAAATGGACTATTGCTTTATCTAAATTCACATATTGCTTCTTAACCACCGCAAGAAACTCTCCAGTCATTTATTACTTTTAACCACACAGGGATTTTATACTTTCAACTGCTTACCAAACTACTTTTTGACTTTCTGCCAAATTACTACCTTGTGCCAGTGCAAACTGTCATCCTGGAAAAACACACTGGTCAAGTCCTGAGCTTCTGTGTGTGTGTGTGTGTGTGTGTGTGTGTGTGTGACAGAGGAGTTTGTCTCTCGAGCTACTCTCTATTTTTTTTTTTCTAGGAAGATTAGCCCTGAGCTAACATCTGCCGCCAATCCTCCTCTTTTTGCTGAGGAAGACTGGCCCTGAGCTAACATCTGTGCCCATTTTCCTCTACTTTATATGTGGGACGCCTGCCACAGCATGGCTTGCCAAGCGGTGTGTAGGTCCACAGCCAGGATCCAAACCGGCAACCCCTGGGCCGCGAAGCAGAACGTGCAAATTTAACCACTGTGCCACCAGGCCGGCTCCTCAAGCTACTCTACTATTGAAAGAAATTAAAGACAAGTTTTGCACAAATAAATTGAAGTCATTAGGATGTTTTTGACTTAAGCTTATTTTTATAAGGTCATCACTTGAAAATACCTTAAGATATAACCAACTTTGCTTTTGTTTTAGGTATGGCCTGAATGCTTTCTATGCACCAGCTATAGACCTTCTGGTGCCCAGGACTGCTGTTTAGCGGGAAGAGATTGTAATTCCATCCTCTGCCATTCGTCATCAGTCATCGATGACTTCATCCTGAGACTCAGTTGATTCTCTCTCCAAAACACAAGTAATTTTAGTTACCGAATTCTATGAGGTTACCATATTCACAGTCTCTTAGTGTCAGCTTTTCTTGTATATTGACTATGACTAAACTAAGCTAGTTTAAACTCTATCTTCCTGTGTTCCAAATGTCCCACACGACAGTCCCTGCTCAGCCGTGCTGCAGCATAACATGATACTCTGCTGCCATGTGTGTTTCCAGTATAAGGCCACTATACCTCGGCTCCAATTTGACCAAATTCAGCTGCTTCCAGAACACACTATGACAAATTAGAGAAAGTCTATAATCAGCAGAGGATTTTTGTGGCTTGCAAAGGCACCCCAAATTGCCAGTAATGAATATTCCATAAGCAAGAAGGCTTTTTTAGCTCCAAATGCTATTAGGGAAGCAAAGATTCTGTGAAAAATACTTATTTTGCTAAATACTTTTGAACTTAGCAAATGACTTCAGAGATTAAGCAGAAAGACTCCAAGCAAGAGTGCCATTTACATCCAAAGTGCGATTTTCATGTACAAGCTGACTTCAGATGAAACCTCTCAAAATCATATTCATCTTCCAAAGGAGATGAGAAATTTGTTCATATTTTCCAAGGTTCAATCTCTAAGCCCAATCAATTTTGTTTGTATTACTGGAAAATTTCTATTTATAAAAGATGGGAAGTGTCCTGCCAGTGATTAGGAAATAAATTGTTCACTGTTTGGAAGACGATCGGCTTTCTCAGGTGGCTAGATGACTTCGTATGCTTTGGGGTTTTGCTGCAAAAGTAGAACTGCGTTAAACAACTTGATTTCACACAGATATGTTTGGAATGTCTTAGAGCTGAAGAGGCCTTTGAGAGTATCCAGTTAAGAGGCATGATTTTAAAGATGAGAAAGCCAAGGCCTGGGAGTGAAAGACACATCTCCAAATTTATGCTGCAAGTTAGGCTGCTCTAACCCTTGTGAGTTTCATTCCCTCAGGTATCTCATCACATTAATGTATCCTCATTTTTCCCCCTATTTTTTATCAGTTAGTTATTTAGGACATACTGTGTACCGGGCACTAGAGTAGGTTCTGGAGACACAAACACATAGGAAAGAGTCTCCATATTCATGGAGCGAAATAATGCAGCGAGGGCAAAACAGCTACAAAACCAGTGATATATTTAAAAAGTTGTTATATTCAATGTACTATGAGACCATGGAATAGAGTGTGAATGCCTTAGTAGGGGAGGTGAGAGGGGCTGATAAAGACCAAGAAGGGAGTTCAAGAGCCGAGGCTTACAGGCTCGTTAGGATGAAGAATATTTCAGGTAGAGAGAAGAGCGGGTGCCAAGAATATGGTGGACGATAATTTGAAGGACAGCAAGTAGTTTAATGTACAATGGGATCGAAAGGAGATGATGCTAATGTGATGGGCATCAGTCAGATAAGGAAAGGCTATGTTTACTGTATAATGGTTTGAATTCTGTCACTACATTATAGGAAGATACTGAAAGGTTTAAGTCAGGGCGTGTTGTGATACTATTTGCAATTTAGAATCACAGAGATATCAATATAGAGATTGTATCAGAGAATAAGAAGACTAGAGGCAAGGAGGAGACCTTGGAGGCAATAGCAGCAAGGGGGCAAGAAACAGTGATGGTAAGAACTAATGTGACAGTGGGGATAAAGAGGAGAGAAAAGGAGGCAATGAATTTGATAGGTCTTCATAATCGTTTGAACGTGGGGAGTCAAGGAAGGACAAGAACTGGGAATAGTTTGAGGATTTCTGTCTCAGACTTCTGGTGGATTACCTTTCATCATGATAGGGATTCCAAAAAGAGAAACAAGTTTGTGATGGGAATTGAGTTTGAGATGCTGTGATACATCCTGATGGAGGCATCCAGTGAATCTGTGGTTCTAGAGATCTGTCTGAGCTACAGTTAAAGATTTAGGGCAGTTTATTCTTCCAACCCTAAGAGCTACTCAAGGAGAAGTTCTGCTAAGATAGAGTTCACTGTTCTATCTTCATTCTTCTTTTCCTTCTTCCTTTTGTTTTTCCTCCTAAAATATTACTTTAGTCTGGAGCCATAAGGTTGAATTTTGAATAACATTTCTTCCATGTTCAAGTCTTGTAATATTATTCAAGTTGTATACGGTCTGTGAAAATCAAGTTTCTCTTCTGTAAAAAGTCAATGATATCCCACAGGGTAGAGGTAACTCTAAAATGAAGTAATGGATGTCAAGGGAGTTTGAAGTGAAATGCTGATAGGAAGATTTTGTATTGTTTTCATCATGAAAAAACCATGGCTCCAAAGCCATCTCATAACCTGAGGGTATAAAAATGTACGTATGCAGGCTTGTGCACACACACACAGACACACACACAAGACATATATTGTTGTCTTCTCTTTACTGTGTTAGCCACCATCTTTGTTAAGGTCTCTAATGTCTTCCATTTGGATTGCCAAAGAATCCTATTCTTTTTTCTTCCTATTTGTGATTCTCTCTTTTAGTTACGTGTGCTACAACAATTCAAGACTGCTTTTCTTTTAATATTTTCAACTTACTACTTAGTAGCTTGCTAGAGCTTGGTCAAATCACTTTAACTCTTGAAACCACAGTTTATTCTTCTTTAAAATGTGGCTAATAACACGTAACTCCCCAGAGATGTAAGAAGTGAAGGAGGTAATGAATATGAAAGAACCTCACAAACTACAAATCACTACATGAATAGTAGATGCTTTTCATTCTCCTTGTTTTTATTATTACATATTCTAGAGCCAGCCCTGGAAGCCTAGTGGTTAAAGTCTGGTGCTCACCACTTCAGTGGCCCAGGTTCATTTTCTGGTCACAGAACCACACCACCCATCTGTCAGTTGCCATGGCGTGGTGGCGGCTCACATGGAAGAACTAGAATGCCTTGCATATACAAGCATGCACTGGGGCTTTGGGGAGCAAAAAAAAAAAAAAAAAAAAAAAAAAAAAAACAAACCATAAGAAGTATTAACAGAGTAACTTTAAAAAAAATTCTATCATGTCATCCTCCTCACAATTTTCAAAAATTTCCTACAGCATCAAGATTCAACACATCTTCTTTGTTTTAAAAGGCCACTATTCTGATTCCAGAAGACTCCCCTGACTTTATATTCCTTGTCCTCTCCAATTGAGCCCATCTGCTCACTATGCTCTAATCATTGACCCTATTAAGCCCGTGCTCATATTGCCCATATGAAAATTCTCATCTTAAAAAATACTCCCTCTTCATCCTCAGCTACCTCCCCTTTCCTTTGCTTACATTTATAGCAAAACTCCTCAAATATCTCTGTTAGCTGTCTAAACTCCCTTGCCTTCCATCTTTTCAGCAGCATTTGGCACAGTTACTCCCTTGTTCCATTCTGAGATACCCTAGGACACCACTTTTCTTGGTTCTTCTTGTGACTCAATCACTGCTCCTTCTTAGTCTCCTTTGTTAGGTCCTTCTAATCTTCTTAACACTGCAGGGTCTCAGGGCTCAATGTTTGAGCATCTTCCCTATCCAGTGTGCTGTTCAGGTGAGCTCATTCTGTGTCAGGACATTAATTACCATTTATATGCTAATAAGTCTAACATTTACCTCTTGCCCCAACTTGTCCTTTAAACTCCAGACTCACATATTCACCTTCCTTCTGAACATCAACATTTAGATGTCTGATTATAATCTCAAACGTAACATGTCTAAAACTCTGTTTTTTTCTCCTTCAAATCTGTTCCTTTCACAGATTTCCCCATCTGAGTAATTGGAAATGCTATCCCTCCCACTTAATCAGGTCACAATTGCTTGAAGTTGTCCTTGACTCCTCTCTTTTACATACCACATCAAGTCTGTTTTAGTTTCAGGAGGCTGCTGTAAAAAATTGCCTCAAACTCAGTACCTAAAACAACAGGAATTTATTCTCTCACAGTTCTGGAGACCAGAAGTCCAAAGTTTAACTGAGCCCAAACCAAGATTTTGGAGGATCTAGGCTAGAATCTCTTCCTTGCCTCTCCCAGCTTCTGGTTGCCCTGGCAGTCCTCAACTTGTGGCAGCATCACTCCAACCTCTTCCTTCCTGGCCTTACTGCTTCCTCTTCCTTTTTGTGCCTATGAAGCTCTCTCTGCCTCCTTCTTAGCACACTTATCATGAGTATGACTACATTTAGGGTCTGCCTGAATAATTCAGGAGTATTTTCTCAGCTCAAAATCCTTACCTTACCTGCAAAGACCCTTTTTCCAAATAAGTAACATTTTCAGAGATAGGATATGCTATCTTTGGGTGGCCATTATTTAGTCTACTACAATATCTGTCAAGAAATCTTCATAGTTCTGTTTTCAAAATATATCCGGAATCTAACCATTTCTCACAGCCCCTCCGGAAGTCCATCGTCTCTCATCTGGGTTGTTGCGGTAGCCTCCTACCAGGTCTTCCTGGGGCCGAGCTTGTCCTCATTGGCTGATTGTCAACCTAACAGCCAGGGGAACTTTTAAATTTAAATCAAAGCATATCACTGTTTCCGCTCATAAGGGTCCAAGCCTTTCCATCTTCCTCAGAATAAGATCCGAAAGTTTAACCAGGATTTACAAGGCTCTCTTTAATCTGGTCTCCCATCACCTTTCTGATTCATCTCTTACCACTAATTCTCGTCTAGGTTACTCAGTGAAAGGCATGCAGCTCCTTAAACACACTGAGTGCGTTCCCACCTCAGGCATTTTGTTCTGTCAGGAAGGTTCCTCTTCAAGTTGGTGTCATGATTTGCTCCTTCACATTCTTCAAGTTTATACTCAAATATCGTATTTTCACAGTGACTTCACCTGACTGCTCAATTTAAGAGCAAGTTTCCTCCCTGTATCACTTTCTAATCCCTTACTGTGCTTTATTTTTTCCCTTTAAAACACTTATCACCACATCATAAATCATAAGTTTTTTAAATTTATTGTCAGTCCCCCATAATACAATGTAAGCTCCATGTCAATTTCATTCCTTGACTGGCATATGGTCAGCACTTACACTTTTTGAAAGGGCCTAGA